TTTTCACCACTTTATTTTAATAGAAGGTCTTGGTTTTATTGTTAATGTCCATCACTTGTTACATTAAACAGTTGTTTCATCACGTATCTGATGTGTCTCTGATTCAATCTGAAGATGAAAATGCCTTCACAAGTTTCAAGGACACCTCTGAATAAAACGGTGAAGCACTTTTCAGGACAAAACTAGACACTTAAACATAATTCGGTCTTCTTAAAATGAGAATCACCACAGAAAGAACTGAATAAGGTTTGTGTTTTGAAGGTGAGCCTATAATGAGGTCTGGAGCTGAAAAGCCCATATAATGAGGTCTATTGCAGACCACCGTGTCAGACTACAGATCACACTGAGGTCAGAATAATTTGGTAGATCTTCTCAAACATTATGAGAGTTTCATTCATTTATTCGCCATCCACACTAAAGTACACATTACAAGCATAATTGTTCATACATTTGGGTAAAAGATCTGAACAGCCTCTAATTAACTCTAAGAAGTAATCTTTGATATGTGCTGATGCTGATACATTTGATATGTTTTGAATTGTTCCCGGTTGGCTAGTTAGTAAGTCACCAATTAGAACAATCTATCAATGAGTATTTAAAGTTTAACCTGATTACACCCATTTGCCAATATTTAAATAATAATAATAATAATGATGATGATGATGATAAAACATTAAAGTAGCCTAAAAATAACAACTTACACATATTTCATTTACATGCATATCCACAAGACGGTGAGGCTTGTTATGCAGATCATACAGCAAACCACTGACCTAATTCCTTCTATAAATCCAACCAATAGTGTTTTCAAAAGCAAATATAAGGGAAATATGCCCCACAGCCACTTTTTTGTGGAACTGTGCTTCACTTAACTTGAACCACTCAGCAAGTCCAAAACCATACAAAGTAAGCCGTCCATATTAAGGCGAAACTTTTTCAAATACAAATATACAATATAAAATATAAATATTGAATATAAGTTGTTTTGTGGTATATGATGTTGTGTAGATCTGTTTTCAAATAATATTTTATTTGTCATTAGTGTAAAAAGGAATAAAAGTTGTTTGCATCAAACTGAACCATAGTGTCCATGTTTCACAGAATCTCCAGTAAAACTTATGCTTATGTGCATTTTTGCAATTTCACAAAAACGAAGCCTGAAACACGTATTTTCCAGCCTAAGCTCACGAGGAAACGTAACGATTAAAAAAAAAAGGCGTAGCTCTTAACCACACCCCTAAACCCAACCATCATTGGGGGAGAAGCAAATCGTACAAAATTGTACAAATGAGATCGTGCAGATTCATACGAATTGGCTTGAATTGTTATGAATTTATGATTTTATGAATTCATTTATTTTTGAGTTATGAATTGCCATGAGATTTTGTTGGTATTTTCAGTCAGCCTGTGTTCTAGGTAAAAAGTTATTTTAAGTTGGAAAAAAAGCTAGAATATTTATTAGAATAGAATTTCTAGAATATAACTAATTAATAAAATATTAGATGAAAATTACCCAGATGACCTACTACTGCCATTTTGTGAATAGCTGTGAAGCAACACAACTGATTGAAGTAGGATACTAGGTAGCACTTTATTTTCTAATCCTGTTTCACTTGTACATAGACTACTATTATCAAAGTAATTCTAGGTAATAGAATATTTAAACTTACACCTGTACCTTACGTTTATTCATGTAGTTACCTCAAGTCAAGTGCATTTACTTAATAGAGGCTATGTAATTTACAGCATCCTTTTTGTTGAGTAAAAAAAACTTCCCATTCTATATCCTCATGGTTAAATGTTTGACCCCATGTGATCAGTAATAATTGACACAGCGATTATGAAATAGAAATGTAGTCAGGAGCAGGAATGCAATTTCAAACCCAATGTCACAGCAAAACTGAACTGATTTACATTTTTGTTGAATTACACCAGGAGCACACAGCATGACTTTTCATGCATTTCAAGTCATCGGATCTCTGTTATTCTCAAACTACATGACTGCCTGACGTCAAATTAGTATCAGGGTGTCACACATTACACTACAGTTCAACAGCAAGAACCACTGACTTCTCCGCCTGGTGTACAAATTACATTTCGTTACCAAACGCATGCAGGAAGTGATCCGAGACTTATGTAAGATCAAGTAAAAGACAAGAGTTACTAACAGAGCTAGATATTTAGCAAGGAGATTAGGGACAAGCCAAATATCTCAGGATGATCAGTAACCAGTTTCAGTGCGAAATATAAACTTAAAGGGATAGTTCGTTCAAAAATCTAAATTTACTCACTATTTACTCTCAAGTGTGTGTGTTTTTAAGTTGAATACAAATGAACCACTGACTTCCATAGAAGGAGAAAGAAATACTATGGAAGTCAATGGTTACACATTTTAAGTATTTTTCAAAGTATCTACTTTTGTGTTCAACAATAAAAAAAGTTGAATAGGTTGATAACAAGTGACAATGTGCATTTAACTACGTATATAAAACAGCCAATATAAAAACATACAAACAATGTCAAAAGGGTTTATATTCATAATGTAAATTTAGATTTGAGTAAACTTAAACACAATACTTACATTCAAAAGGATCATCGCACAATGGATCTTGGGATATTGAGGCTGTAAAGGATCCATTGGTTGTACCTTTCATTACCTGTGAATAAAGGATACATTTGGAGGCAGCAATTGAAGTAGAATTCAAATAAGACAGCATTCTTTATGCTGTCATGACCCAATCAACCTTCAAATGTGTCCTGTAAAGAATGAAGACTCTAAATTGAGACACAGTTATAGGTTGAGGGTGATGTGTACTGTAATGTTTCAATAGGACGCTTTTTAAGGGTTAGTTCACCAAAAATGTACATAAATGTCATCATCCACTCTCCTTTTGCTTGTGACAAACGTGCTTGAGTTTTTTGTTTCCCTGTTAAACACAAAACAAGTTCTTTTGAAAAAAGACTCACTGACTTCCATTTGTTGTATGTCAATAGATACCATTTTCCAGCTTTCTTCAAAATATCTTCTTTTGTGTTCAACAGAAAAGAAGAAACTCAAAACGGTTTGTAACAGAGTGTTAAGTATGTTTGACATCATGCGAGAGTCAAGGTTTAATCAAAAATGATGTCTGATTTAACTTAATTCAAATTAAACATGAAACATTTACAACTAGACACGTTTCCAGTAATGCTAATTATGGTAATCTGAAAATAGTCAGTATTATCCTTACTGGAATTAAACAAATTCAATTAAATTTGAGTGGATTTATAATGCATAATTGCTTGAAGAAAAAAAAAACAGTTAGGGTATATGCAGAACAAGTGTTACTTCACCTACTAATAACATTTTGGTGAATGGTTAATGTGACTTTTTGCAATTGTATAAAGTTTATTTTACAGCATCTATGTTGTAGTACGATTAAAATATTATCAGTTAAATAGTCTTATTCACTTTTTTAGTTGTTCAATTGTGAAAACAAAATAGAAAGTTGCTTACACGCACTCTGTGTCAGGATCAGCAGACGAGCACAGAAACTTCATTGAAAATAATGGAGTAAAATAAATTGTCATATTTATAGACGTGAAATGAAATGCAGTGCTTCTTGAACATTCTGAGACCCACTTTATATCACATATTTATCAGGCACTGAAGATCATTGATTTTTAAAGAAAACATGCCTTAAACACAGCGAGTTTGTACCAACCAGTTTACCAGAAGTGATTTAATTTGGTCACTGAAAATGAATTCTGCATCAACCCTATTTTAACATTTCTAAAATTTTGTAGTTTTTTTTTTTTTTTGCACATCATCCCTTTGAAGCAAACTAATGGTAAGAGGGGCATGGATAAAGAATATTGTGGCTAAAGCCATCAAACTGACATCAACAGAATTTCAGTGGATAAACTTGCAAAGATGAATTGTTCACCAAAAGAATAACAATGCAAAATGAACATGATCAGTTTTGATTTCATGTGGAGAACTTTGACAACATTTTATTTTAATGTTCCTAATAAATATTGCATGTAGTAACAACTATAAAATATGCAACTATCCTTAAACCAAACACTTACTCTATACAGGTATGTAAAAACTCGGTCCTGGAGGGTCGGTGTCCTGGAGAGTTTAGATCTAACCCTAATCAAAAACATCTGAACTTGATATAAGATATACCTATATATACCTATACTAGATATACTAGTAACTTCCTGGCAGGTGTGTTAAAGCAAGTTGGAGCTAAACTCAGCAAGACACCGGCCCACCAGGACTGAATTTGGACACCACTGCTCTAGTAGAACCAGCCTGATCTCATGAGGAAACGCAAGTATTTTACATTTAGTCAGTTCAGTGGCTAATTCGTATAAGTTCGGTCGTACGAAAATTACCAATGTTAAAAAGGAGGTGTGGCACCCTAATCCACGGTCATTGAAAAAAAAAAAAAATCAAAAAACGGTCATTGGGGGATGAGAAAATAAAGTTGTACAAATGAGATTGCAGGAATTTATATGAATTAGCCACTAAATCTAAAAATTCTGAATTGCATTGAGATTGTGTTGGTAGAACATATATATATATATAGTTAGTCAATGATTATTCATATACAAGTGCTTCTTAAATGTATTGCATTATTATTGTTACTGTAACAAGGACACAACAGGAAATGCAATTGTTTTTTTTTTTTGCAAGTAGTTTATGTAATAAAATATTTTTTTCACATGTGCGCAGTACTGACAAATCCAACACTGAACCTGAGTTGATCTCAAGTGTAAATGAATGGAAAATCTTTTCTCTAAGTTTAACAAACTCTGATGCTGTTATTCCCACAACCACAAGAGGGCACAACATGCTTAATGGGTGAATCCTTTATTGGTAAAACTCAACTGAATTTAAAAATGTACTTACAAAAAGACAAATGATGACATAGACATGTAGCATAAATGAATAAAAAATGACAAAATCATTTATTCGATAAATATATAAATAATGAAACGACACTCGTTGCTCAGGTGACACCAAATACCATTTATTAGGGCTTTACAAAGACTACAAAATCCCCCAGATGAATTAAATTTGTGGTCTCTTTCTATTTACATGATATGTTACTTACAAATGTACAAAATATAAAACATCTAGCAACAAATGTTCCACCTGAAAAGAAACATTTTCAAAGTAGTTCGATGTTACGCGCTCACCGAGAGATGCATTTGCCGTAACATGAAGGAAATGAAAAGACGTTGATTTCTGATGTACCATGGACAATCACTATCTGTGTTTGAGGTTAGGGACCAGCAGGCAGTTTTCTGCACTTCTTATAAAGGTTTTCTCTTGAGTACTTTTACACTGAACAATGGTTGACAAGCAAAGCATCAGGCACAGAGTCACAGAGTTTGGAGGTTACGCACATACAGTACAGTACAGTAGCACCGCTGTAGTGCTGAGGAATTCAAACGAAGATGTTTCCTGAATCAACCCAAAGAATCCGAGGTTAAAGCCTGTCTGGCAGTGAGGGTGAGTTACTCTGGTGGAGTCAGAAGGTGAACCTGGATGTGGAAAAGGCCTGATTGTGTAAGACAGAGTAAGACGCAATTCACTGATAGCACCGTGTATGAAACAGCCTGTACCTCCTGCCTGTGCATTGCGCAAACTAATGGAGATTCAGTTACAGTGCAGTATATTCTAAATATTTTTTGTGGGTGATTGGGGATAGGGTCCTAAGTAATTTACAGGGGACCTAAGAAAGTATTCAGATACTTCAGTCACACTTTAATGTATGAATGTTGCTGCATTAGATAGAAAAAACACTAGACTGTCAACTAGTTTTATATTCTCATGCAATTTTTGTTGTGGAGTAACATAAGTTAATCGCAGAACTCATAAATTATTTTTAATAGAAAATAATTTATTATAATATATGTATATATTACACTATATGTTTCATTATTTAAAAGGAAAAAAAATAAACTTAACAAAACTATTATTGTTTGCCAAATATATGTAGCTTGATTTGACATCATCTAATGCAATAACATTTATCCATTTTTAAAAATCCCATGAATTTATTTGTATTTTTACTACTTTTACTCCTATACTAAGGAAACCTGTTTCTGTAATGCAGAGGTGTCAAACTCAGTTTCTGGAGGGCCACAGCTCTGCACAGTTTAGTTCCAACCCTAATAAAACACACAAGATCAAACTAATTGAGGCCTTCGGGCTTGTTTGAAACCTGCAGGTAAGTGTGTTGAAACAGGGTTGGAAATAAACTGCTGGGCTGCTGCCCTCCAAGATTTGAGTTTGACACCCCTGCTGTAATGGATTAATAATAAAAAGTTAATGTAACACAAACTAGAATTGCACATTTTTATTTCACAATTTTGTTTATATCATTATAGCAAGTTGTAATTCAATTCTAAGAGGAAAAAGTCAGAATTGTAAGAATTAAAAAAAAATTGCAATAAATCGCATGAAGTTTATATCGCACAATTCTGATTTATTTGTATATGTTTGTACAGTGTAAAAAATACCCTGCAAATGATCAGTTATCCATATTTTGTGATTGAGCTTTTTGTTTTATTCATGTTTTTGAATTGCATTATAAGACGTTGATCTTTCATCCAAACACTTTCACTTTTAAAAATGTTTTAAAAGGGATATTTATTGACATGTTTAATAGTTGTCTGGATTGTTGTTGTAAATTACAGTATAAAAACCTAGTAATAAATTATTTTATTCCTAATTTGCAGAGTATAAATTATACAATATATTGTTTAAAACTACTAAAATGTCAATAAAAGTCACTTCTTAAACAGAACAGAGATTAATGTCCTATAATGCAATTCATAACCATAAATAATTGCAAAGGACTAAACAAACTGTTAATTAACGGATATTTATTACAGTGTAGAAATAAAAATAAAAATGAATGGAGAACTATGTATGTATTTTGGAGCTATATTTATCATCCCATGGTGAAGTTTTAGTCCTAAAAGTTGACAAAATTAAATAGTATAAAAACACCCTGGTATACACGTTTACATTTTAAAGTATATCTCTTTTTTAAATATTTTGTAATAAAAATGGACCAGATTTAAGGATGTACACATTTACATCTAATCAAATACTCTTTGGAATGAAAATATTCCAGTCTATTTAGGGAAATCAGGCTTTACAATAACATGCGGTTAACATTCATGGGGTCTTTAGGTGTGACTTATACATCCAAGGAAACCAGTGCATCTGCAAGCTGCAGGAAGGGAATAGTAAGACTGTAATGCATGTTTGATGTGGTCAGGCTTTGATGCATTGCAAAGATCAAACAGCTTTGGATGGTTTTGTGCCCTTAAACAGTAAACTGACACTAAAGTTTTCTGAAATTGAAAAACACTTCACCTCTCACTGTACAGTTTAGAGCTCTGTATAATAACCAGTCATTACAAGACATATAAGGTTTGGACATGTTTGCTGGTTTGCTTTTTTTTCTTTTCTCTGTATTTCACAAGAGCTTAATGCTAGACTAGTAGAGCGGAAACGCAATAGCGACCGGGCAGAGTGCATCTTTAAGAGGCTGTGCAAGACTTGGATATTTACAATCATCCTTTTCAACTGTGCAAAACCCACATAGCAAACAAAATAAAAGATGAGTGACTACACGAACACCGGCGCACGGGAGCGAAAACCGTTTCCACGTGCACGTACACACATATAGCAAAGGAAAAACAGCATGCGAGCAAAGCGACACGTCAGATTTGTGCTCTCGATTCAAGTGTTCCCAGCTCAACTGGGATTACATAAACATCTTTTTTTACTTTTATACATTTGGACCGTTTTATAATGGCGTGTACACTAATTGTAACAAAAATAAAATATGTGAACGTGGCTTTTTTTTTAGGAAAAATGGTTCATCGTTTCTGTCCTACGCCATCGTTTCTGCGCAAAAGGACAGCGGCACCACATTTAGATCAGAGCTCAGCACATTTAAGGCAGCAAGAAAGCACCATTTTCTGGTCTTTTTCACGAAGCTGGTACACTCTCCAACAAACGGTTGCCTCGAACCTGCGGAGAGAAGAAAAAACTACGCATTCGGCCGTAGGGTTGACGGAAAGACTACTGGATGGAGCAGTGTGAAAGCTGCAGTCGGAGTGCTAGGTCTAGATACGCTTGGCAGTGGAACGAGTGGTGGAGGTTTGCGAATTTGCGTATGATTTCACAGTAGCGGTAATGACACGGTGCACGTTTGTGCTTGTTGACAAGAGGCGTTTGATGAATGGTGCTGGCGAGATGAGTGTAAACCACATGTTGGTTTTTGGCACCACGGCAGCACCAGTTTGTTGACTGAGGTCAGATTTCAGAGTGTTGCCCTTTAAGTTTTTGCACCTCAGTGAATTTTAAATAAACACTTGCCTCT